TTACACCGTTTTAAAAATTACATCGTCCAAGTGGCGACCATTGCGATCAATGAAGTTGAAGGCGATTTCGAAAGTTTTCCATCACCTTCCGGGTCACCTGTCGGATGGAATAGCCTCGATTTCTTGTCTGATGGCGGCTCTTAGTTCGTCTAATGTTCAGAGTCGATGGCCGTAGACGTGAGCCTTAAGATACCCCCACAGAAAAAAATCACAGGAGGTTAAATTAGGAGATCGTGGTGGCCACCTTATGTCCCTCCTTAAGGAGATGAGATGAAACGGGAACATGTCTCTCAAAACAATGCTCATGAACCGGTCCAACTCATGACGTCTACTGAAAACTGCATTTAATTAGCTTTCGAATGAGCACCACCTCGTCTCTGTACCTCCACTACTCTCGGAACAATAACTCCTCGAAATTGGGGAGTTCTTTTTGTCGCACCCTTATTTTATCAGTATAAAGGACACAATATTATTATCAAAAAATTTCAGAGTTTATCTTTTACACAAGAAGTATACAGGACATCCCACAATTTTTGGCCAAGCACTTTTATGTGGATAAAGCAGACTAAACTGAATCGAAAAGTTCTCTACTATTTTGCAATTTTCGCAATGGTTAACATATTAATTACTAAAAATTGCCGAATATTGGTCTTCAATAATTTTTTATTCAAATACTATCAACTTACAGGAAAACAGCAAGAGACAAAAACTGTTTATTTTCTTCTTATAGAGCTCTAAGAATTTTTTCAGATTTTTTAATCAACCTTTTAGTACTGCATTTTCTTTTTTTTATTGGCAACTATTTTTAACATAAGAAAATACGGTATTAAAAAAATTCTGAAAAAATTCTCAGAACTTTATGAGAAGAAAATAAGCAATTTTTAACTCTTGCTGTTTTCTTGTAAAGTTGATAGTATTTGAGTAAAAAATTATTTGAAACCAATATTCAGCGATTTTTAGTAATTAATATATCTTGCTAACTATTGCAAAAATTGCAAATTGGTACAGGACTTTTCGACTTAGTTTAATCCGCTCTATTTATACAAAAATGCTTGACCAAAAATTGCAGGACATCCTGTATATTAATCTAAAAAATAGAAACAGTTAATAACGATTACTCGCGGTATTTTTAATCAAACTTCACTCCGTGAACCAGATAGGATACGACATCTCAGCAAGATGAATTTCTATAACTTCCTAAAAAGTACCTCGCGCATGTTGCCGATTTTGTGCAACTGAAGAATGCGTTATTACCAATTATACTAAATTATAGTATATTTATGATAAAGCATGGGGTATAAAATATATCCACATACGATCTATGTTGATTTTCCACCTGGTTCGCGGAGGATTAATATTCAATTAATAGAGAAAGATTGAATTTTTCTTTTTTTAAATTTTTGTTAGTAAATATTTTTCTTCGTAGGCTGTCATATGCGGTTTATGATTTTATAATTTATTATAAATTTATCTTAAAAATGAAATTAAGTCTCGCTCCGATTCGTCCAATGGATAAACAGAACAATTAAAAAAAAGAGAGATGGATACGTTTGAAATAGTCATGTAAATCCGAGTGTAAATCACAACTTTATATTATGCTCTATTTATAGTATAAACTTTATAATATAAAATCGTCGATCATATATAGTCGATCATATTATACTTATATAAAATTATATACCATAAATTATACAAAATGTTTCTAATTAATTTTTGTGTTTCTTTCTTTTCTTTATTTAAAATATAAATATATTGTTTAGATTACGTCGCCTGAAAGAAAGACGTTGTTTCCTTAGTGTACCGATTATTGCGAAGAATATTACTAAGGCCTCGGTAGTCTACTGGCTCGTACGGTTTACAAGAGATCCGGGTTCACGTCCCGGCCGAGGTAATATTTTTCGCAATAAATTTATTAACAGTTTTTATATATTAACATCTTTATAATATATGATGCTTGATGGTAGCATCAAATTATTAAAATTGCTTGTCAATTTAATTCGCGATTACTAGAGTAGTTTTAATTGCGTTTATTTAGTCCGGAAAAACAATTCGGCGCGCAGTTAGAAAAAGACTATAATATGGTATATATGCAAGTACATATATAGTATATATTAGTAATTCAAGATTGAATTATTAAAAAGCAACGAAGATCCAGCTCCGACCGTAATAGGCAGTTAAATTTCTAGTATTAATTGAGTTTTTCTTTATTTCTTTTTCTATTTTTTTATAATGTATTTTTCTAAGAAGATAAACAGAAGGAGAAGACGATAAATTAAAAATAATATATAGCAAGATTAGAAATTTAAAAAATGAGACAAGTATTAGTCGTTACCCAGCAAACAATTTGATGGCATTTATCATCATTTTGACATCAAAATGACATCTTTAATGTTAATTTGTTTGCTCGGTACTTTCGATATGTTTGCATAAAAAATGAAGGCGCTTAATGATGAAATTAAGTTTTGACTCTCGTCCAACAGATAAGTAAAAAAAATTAGAACGAAGATAAATAATAAAATTAGAATGAAAAAAAGATACTTGATAGGTTAATCGAGTGTTGATTGCACCATATCCGAAAGTGCGTCTTGATCGAAAATATTCAGAAATCACGCGGTTATCTCGCGGTCGCAAAGGAGGTGTATTATTACGTACGATTTCGTGAAGTGGCCTTTATAATGTCCAATCAAGTTCAACGGTAGGATAAAGATACATGCATTGTTCTTGATCCATATATATATGGATCCATATATATATGGATCAAGAACAATGCATGTATCTTTATCCTACCGTTGAACTTAATTGGACATTATAAAAGCCACTTCACGAAATCGTACGTAACAATACACCTCCTTTGCGACCGCGAGATAACCGCGTGATTTCTGAATATTTTCGATCAAGACACTTTCGGATATGGTGCAATCTACACTCGATTTCTTAACCTATCAAGTATCTTTTTTTCATTCTAATTTTATTATTTATCTTTGTTCTAATTTTTTTTACTTATCTGTTGGACGAGAGTCAAAACTTAATTTCATCATTAAGCGCCTTCATTTTTTATGCAAACATATCGAAAGTACCGAACAAACAAGTTAACATTAAAGATGTTATTTTGTCAAGATGTCATTTTGATGACCGCGGGTATACTCGCGGTCCGTACGCCACGCGTATATACAGGGTGTTTGGAAAGTGTCGGGACACCTGAATATCATGGAAAGTATAAGTATTACAGAAAAGTGTTTCAGACAAAAGTTGTAGGGTTCGAAAAGATCTATTTACTGATCACATCCATTTGACCTTGGGTGGCGTCGTCAAGGTCAGATCAAAGTCACATCAATTTTTTTAAACGGAACACCCCATTTTTCATTGCATATTCTTATAGCACATCTCGAGAGCTTTCAAACACTATAATAAAACACTATAATAAAATTTTTTCATTAAGTACTTTTTGAGTTATGAGGCTTGAAAGTCATAGTATGTGCCGACATTAGCGTAACCCAAAGTGTCCGACCGATGACTAAAATCTCTTGAATGTTCAGGATCATTACCTAGATAATATTTGTCAAGATCAAGGTCATTGGAGTTTCCTTTTATTTTCACTTTTGCACTAAAAATTTATTTCTAAAAATGAAAATAAGAGGTACAACCTCCAATAGTTTTGATCTTGATAAATGTTATCCAGGTCGTGATTCTGAACATTCAAGAGATTTTAGCCGTCGGTCGAACACTTTGGGTAATGCTAATGCCTGTACATAATATGACTTTCAAGCCTCATAACTCAAAAAGTATTTAATGAAGAAATTTTATTATAGTGTTTTGGAAAGCTCTTGAAATGTACTATAAGAATACGCAATAAAAAATGGGATGTTTCATTTTAAAAAATTGATGTGACCTTGGCGACGCCACCCAAGGTCAAATGGATGTGATTAGTAAATATTAGGTGTTAAACTTAATTCCTGCCGTTTTTCGTCTCCAAAATTGATTGGTTTCGAAGGGAAATACCTTAATCAAAGTATTATTAATAAAGTATTATTAATTAGTAATAAAGTAGAAAATGGAGAAAATTACTTTGATTAAGGTATTCATTCATCTTCCCTTCGAAACAAATCAATTTTGGAGACGAAAAACGGCAGGAATTAAGTTTAATACCTAATAGATTTTTTTGAACTCTACAACTTTTGTCTGAAACACTTTTCTGTAATACTTATACTTTCCATGATAAGTGTCCCAACACTTTCCGAACATCCTGTATATAATACGCCTATGATAAGACTATAGGATTCGTATTAGATAACCGAGTAATAAAAATATGACGATAATGGGCATTCTAATGCGCAATTGGTCTTGTGAACAAGACAGATAGGAATATCTTTTTATGAGCATGAACACGATATACAAAGTGTCGATTATCAGAGAAATGTTTGTGTGACATGAACGTAACGTAATATACACATTATTTAAGAGGAAATTGCTGATAAGTATATCCCATACACTTGTGCATATAGCACTTGTATATAGGACATCCGAGCTAATTCGCATTTTTATGATAAAACGACTAGAAATTTTTCAATGCGATCTCAATTGCTAATTTCTTTCTCTGAGATATTTCATAAATTTGAGAATTAGAATAAAATTACGAAAGATATTTAACATAGAATTATATGTATATATTATGTATACAGGGTGTGCTAAAATTCACACATTCGGAGTATAGAACATGATATTTTATGCTAAAACAAACAACTTTTTCCTTTAGCAAAATTGCGTCCGATAAATAATTTTTGTGTTTACTCGTATAACTTCAACTTGTTCTTCTGCAAAAACTACTTGTCAGACGCAAAAGGAAAAAATTGTTTTAGCATAAAGTATCATGTCTTGTACTCCGAATGCGCGAATTTTGGGACACCCTGTATATAGAATATACATGATTATGTATTATTCTGTGAAAATTACATATATTATGAAAATAATACAAACCTATTTAATTTTTATATATGTTTTAGATTTTCAATTTGGAATACAATACTGGGATCGTCATTATTGACGATGCCATGGGGAATTATGATGGCCGGATTCTTTCCTGGAATTATCCTCAACTTGCTGATGAGCGGTTTATGCCTGTACACCGCTTATCGTCTCATAGTTGCACATGCATATCATGGTAAAAAACTCTTCTATCATAAAACTTTTATCACAAATCATAACGTGTGATATAATTATTTATTATAATTAATAATATTATGATTAATTAGGTGGTGGATCAGATATAGAAGTTTTAGACTTGTGCCGAATATATCTCGGCAAATGGGCAGAACATATCGCTAGAATCTTTAGTATTGCTGTATTGCTAGGCGCAACTGTAGCTTACTGGATATTAATGGCCAATTTCCTGTATAATAGCATCAATTTTATTTACGGTAAATATTCTCGTCCTAAACATAAATATAAGATATGTGTCCTCGTGAACTATCTCGGAAAACAATATTCATTTTGCAGATAGTATAGCTGGCTGGTCAACACATCGTGTATCTGAGAACATTTCATATAAAGAAGGTATATATACATGTATAGATACAAAGTTTTAATTTATTCCTCGAGAATAATGTCTCCACTGAAGTGGTTTTATCACTTCGATTTACAGTTTTGTGCCCGAAAGACAATAATACCATTGTAACATATGAGAAAACATATGATGTACTGGGACCAGCATGGGATTTACGAAATACAGTGCCTATGTTTTTGGCTTTATTAATATTTATATATATATATACATCATTAACCATTTTTATATTTAATATACCATTTGAATATATATGCTTTTAATATCTTATCGTATATACAATTCTGATTAAAAATCTGCTATTACGAGATATAAATTTTTAATATGTATTTCACAGGAACAGTGTCAGTTATGTATCTGATTATCTTCGTTGTGATCAAATCAGCGTCGTGGGGCATCAACATGGGCCAAGTCGAATGGACAACAAGTTGGGTAATACGGCCCACGTTTCCCGCACTTACCGGGTTGTTAGCAATGTCATTCTTCATCCACAATATTGTAATCAACATAATGCAGAGTAATCGCAATCAAGAAAAGAATGTTAGTTACTTTAAATCGTATTTTCTTCTTGTATATTGATCCCTTGCAGAGAATAAATAGATTTTATTTTTAGGGAAGGGATTTAACCATAGCATATTTCCTCGTCACGTTAACTTATATCATCGTTGGAGTAGCGTTTTTTATGTGCTTTCCACTGCCTAAGTCGTGCATAGAAGATGTAAGTACGCATAATATCTTTCTGTAAAAATGATAAAATATTCAATATGACATAACAATTTATGTATTTCCTAAACTAGATCTTATTTTATTGTAGAACCTACTAAATAATTTTCAAAAATGGGATGGCCTTACAATAGGTGCTCGTATAGTGCTACTTTTTCAATTAGTGACTGTCTATCCTTTACTCGCGTATATGCTACGTATTCAGTTACTCTCATGGATATGGAAAAGAGCGTCTAATAGAGGCTTAGTGCTCTTCATTAATCTCGTATTAGTTTCTATATGTATCATTTTCGCGACGTTTGTACCTTACATCGGAACTATTGTCAGGTATACTGGCGCTTTAAGCGGACTTATCTACGTTTTTACTTTCCCGAATTTACTACATTTATCCATTTTGAAGAAAGAAGGAAAGCTAGGTATATGTTCGATATTATTTCATTTAGCTATACCTGTTATCGGATTTTCAAATCTCATTGCTCAGTTTTTTATTACAGATCGTTAATCATATAATTAAAATCTTATAGACTGTGTATATGCAATTGCATTTATGTATATAATACTTAATATTAATTATTTATAAATGCAATTGCGTATCATTATACGTACATATCATTATACATTTTAAAAGAATCCTCTAGTGTTCAAAAATTACATTTAAAAAAGTAGATTTAAATGTAACAGATAGAAAAACGTTAGGTGCAAAATGTATATTTATTGCATTGAGTAGTGAGTAGTCCGTTATAATAACAGATATTTATGAGTTGAAAAATGTATTAAAATTTAAGAAAGCATGATATAGAAATTATATAAGTAGGTCAGAACTATTTCGTAAACATAATAAATGACATAATTTATTTAATTATTCACGGCACATTAATTTAGGAATAATACAGATTTATTTTCTCACTGTAAATACAAAGATCGTTAATGTTGTATGTTTTATGTACTTCAATAAACACATAATAGTATTAAATACACAACAATTATTTTGTATTGTAATTTATTAAATCTAAGTATATATCCTTTGTTACCTTAAATTCAACTCTGAGGTATCTTGTAAACCCAAATGGTGTCAACTCCATGTCCAATCGTCATAACAGGATGCGTGTTAGGAAGAGGAAATCTACATGCGATTACGAGAGAATCTTTGCGCAATTCGCTTTTAAACTTTTTTTCAATATCTTCCATCTATAAAAAAGATGACTTCTTGATATACATTTTATTTTTTTCTCAAGAGTCACAATGAATATTAAGGAAAAATGTACCATTTGATCTACTCCAAATATAACGACATTATCATATTTTCCTAGGTGGTGTTTCCATAAATCTTGTTTGTGAAACACAGTGTTGCTCGATAGACCGTTAATCAGTGCTTGAAGCCTCGAATACCATACTAGCCAGGTATTTAACTCGATACCATAGGCTTTAAAGCCACGCTTTGCTGCTGTGAGGACCTATTTATAAATTATACCTAATTTTATTTTGAAATATATACTTTAAGTTAAACACATCAAGCGTTGTGGCTGGATGCTCCTTATTGTTTACAATTTTTAAACTTAAGCCACTTATTATTTTATTTATTTATTATTTATAAATTGTCTCATTGGTTGCGATCGTTGGAAGAGAGAAAAAGTTTATCCTTGTTTTGCATTTCACGGAGTATGTCTCTTGCGTATAGGGTTACCAACTGTATTTTTTTAAGAATACTCTTTTTAAGAATACTCTTGTTAAACTTCTGGTCATTAATTAAAATTTTATATTTATAAAATTATATTAATAAGAATTGTTCATAAAAATTATACTCCAGAAATTTCATTTTATTAAATACTTACATTTAATGCATAAAAAATTATATCCCGTTATATAATGTATATAATATATATAAATAACTGACTGGAACAATGTTAAGATTTTAGACAAGGAAAAAATATTATAAATAAAAGGCTAATCTCTGAAATTGAACTTGCTGCAGTGTAGAACAATATACATTTTCAATCTTCTCAAGGCAGAAAAAAGCACTAGTTATTATCAACACTAATTATTTTGAAAATCTAGTTCATGTGTGAAATTTTATACATGAAAAATTCTGATGTATGGAGTATTCCATACATTTCCCACAAAAGTTGACGCCCATACCTTTATCCTATATTTATTTATGATTCTAACAGTTATAAATACGCTCACTTGTTCTGATGCTCTTTATTAGTTAAGAATTCTTGGAATACCAAATATGTAAATATGAGAAATCGGAATTTTTAAATAGAAAATATACTTTTATTGCATGAAAATGATAAAAAAATATTTTATTCGAAGTATTGCCCATCGCTAGCTATACATTTTTCCCACCTGTCTGACAATTTGTGGATGCCATGCCAAAAAAAGTTCTTTTGAGCCAAACCAGTCATCTAGCCATTTTCGTACATCTTCGTCAGAAGTGAATCGCTGCTGAGCAAGTGCGTGTCCCATCGATGCAAATAAGTAGTAATCGGACGGAGCCAAGTCTGGTGAGTAAGCCGCATGCGAAAGTATTTTCCAACCAAACGCCTCAATCGTTTCCTTGACCAGTTGCTGTGTGTGATGGTGCATTATCATGAAGCAAAATCACTTTGTGTTGCCTTTTTTGATATTCCGGTCATTTTTCACGCAAAGCTTGATTCAAATTGATCATTTGTTGTCGGTAGCGTTCAGTATTAACGGTTTCGCCAGGTTTTAGCAGCTCATAATAGATCACACCTTTCTGATCCCACCAAACACAGAGCATTGTCTTCCGTCCATAGCGATTTGGCCTTGCAGTCGATGTCGATAGTTCGCCTGGAGTTACCCATGATCTTTTACGCTTAGGATTCTCAAAATATATCCACTTTTCATCGCCAGTCACAATTCGATGGAGAAATGACTTTCTTTTGTACCTGGCGAGCAGCATTTCGCAAGTGGTTTTTCGGTTTTCCCGCTGTCTTTCATTCAGTTCATGTGGAATCCATTTTCCCATCTTCTGGATCTTTCCCATGGATTTCAAACGTATGGAAACGGCTTCTCGTGTCACATTCAATTGATCCGCGAGTTGTTGTTGAGTTTGAGCGTCATCCTCATCCAACAATGCTTGCAATTCGCTGTCTTCAAACTTTTTCGATGGTTTTCTACGTTTTTCGTTTCTCACGTTAAAATCACCACTTTTGAATTTTTTAAACCATTCAAAGCACTGTGATTTACCTAGAGCATGCTCACCGTAAGCTTCGACAAGCATTCGATGCGATTCTGCAGCAGTTTTCTTCAAATGGTAACAGAAAATCAATGCTGTCCGCAAGTCGTAGTTTCCAGGTACAAAATTCGACATGTTCAACGCTATTACAAACTATACTGTTGTATGAAACTTGTATTGTTGTGAGTTGAAAATCTTTGTCAGATGTCAGAACAAGGAAATGGCTTCAATGACGCGGTCTGACGGCAACTACATTGACAGCTATGGTCATCTATTGGTAAATTCCGGTTTCATATTTACATACCTGGTAAGCGTTTTACCAGATATGCATGTGCTCTATTTGACGACTGATAAGACCTTAAATTATAATATAAGTTTTTGAATAGCTTGTAAAAATTGAACTGAAATATTCTATCGTGCATTTAATATTTCAGTTTGATATTTTAATTTCAGACTATCAAAATATGTATTCTTCTAAATAGAATAGTCAATTGAAGATTTTATCCATGAACGATTACTTTTGACATTATACTCGTGACATATAATCGGTTTTACAAAGCGTCTCATTTATGTTATATCAAAATTTAATGTAATATTCCATATTTAAACGTATTGACCCTTATTCCTAATTTAATAATCAAAATCGGAGGTGAGGCCCTGTATTCTAAATAATTACCAAACATATTATTTATTTGTTACAATAAAGATGACCTAAATTGTGGTCAACCGTATGTAATTGTCAATTATTAGGCCTGTTCTTTTTAGCTGAACTTTTGCACCAGTCCATCTGTCTTCTTTTTTCCTTCAGGAGAAAAAAAGAAGAAAAATGAACTAGTGCAAAAGTTCAGCCAAAAAGAACAGGTTTTATGTTATACACAAGTTTTACATGCTACCGTTCAGTATCAACTTAAATTGGCTTGCATTTTTTACTTATTTTAAATATATAAAATTATATTTTTTATATGTGTACATATAGGCTAATTTTCTTTAGGAGACTTTGGATCCTTTCCAGCAAGACACAGATGATACAATATAACATAGTGAATTATTATATCCTTTTTGTTAGTCAATATTAAATAAAGCTGAAATGATCAGTGTGATATACTGTAGATTTGTTTTCTATGCTAAATAATAGTAATACAATTTTAGAACTTAAAGTGAACTAGATATATATTTGGTATTTGGCAAAAACAAGAAAGGATCCAATGCAGTCTAGTTCATATAGGAATTAAAAAATGGACCTTGTATCTCTTGCTGGAAAGTACTCACTGTATTATCTGTCTCTAGCTGGAAAGTACCCAATCTTCTAAAAGGAAAGCAATTCACATAAATGTCATTCTATTTTCCTTGACATTCAATAAATAACAAAGATAAAACGACACTTGTGTCGATTATGTCTCCTAAAAGAAAAGTAACCATAATATTCTTTACTTGTGATTTGATAACTCGCATGTGACTCATGATTATCATACTTACAATACGTCCATCGCCGCTGCCGAGATCAATCAAAGAACCGGAGCGGTTGTTTAACGCTCGAATAATATTCTTTATTTGTTGACGCGTAGCTGGCACGTACGGCAAACATATCTTGCGAAATGCAGGGCTGATAAATGGAAAACACACGATGCTAATCGCTGTTGCAATCCCGCCTGGCGGCACAGGGAGAGACCAGCTTATTGAAAAATCAGCGCAACCGATTAATTTAAATTTAATAAAAACAACAATATTAACGAACCTGTAGCGGCAATAAAAAATAAGCCGATCTTCGATGGTTTTCGTGTCTCGATAGGAACCTCCATTTCAATATGCTCCGTTAATGTGATTTGTTTATATTGTGAAACAAACGTTCAGATAAGACTTATAGCGTTCTATAAATGTCAAACGTGAAATCAAGCTTGAAATCATGGTATTATAAATTTCATGTCCCAGACAATTGTTTGTTGATTTTATTCTTATTTCATGGGTTTCTACTTTCCAGTTTCCATGTACTAGCAGAAATCAAAACTAACCTGGGGCTCTATTCTTGAAAAGAAATGTATGCGAAAGTCTAGGGAAATGCTACAGTATACGTTACGTATACTATAGTATTTCTCTAGACTTTCATATACGTTTCTTTTCAAGAATTTAACCCCTGGGGCCCTATTCTGTAACTGTCTTTACACGCCTACCGACAGGTGTCGGTGTCGTTGCGCAGATATTTTAAATAGTAAAAAAGCTGCACAACGACACCGACAAAAAAAAAACAGTTACAGAATAGGGGCCCAGGGTACCTATTATGGAAATGTTCGGAATAGATTCTGTTCCGAATTATTCAATTATTCCCTAGATTACTATTGTGTTTCCTGGGGAAAACGAAATAATTCCGATCGGAATCCATTCCTAGCATTTCCATAATAGGTGCCCTGATCAGTGTTGCCAGGTGCTTTCGTCGATTTTCCCGTAAAACAATCTCGGAATCTCCCTAAATCTCCCTAAGTGAGCTCCAAAAAGATCCTAGATTTCTCCATAAAATTGTCAAATATATGTTCAAAATAAAATAACAACGGGCCTTTTACAATAAGCTGCAAGTCAGAACGTCAGAAGGGGTGATCCCGATTGATCACGGCTCGATTGGACACCAATCACAGCGACCAGTGCTTAGGAGCTTTGTAGTCTCAAGCGCTGTGAGTGGCTCATGTCCAATTGAGCCGTGTCCAACTGGGTGCCACCCCCACGAAACGACAGGTCACGGCGGGTCTATTCGGGTTAAGCCCATGACATATACAAGAACGTAAGGCCGTAGCACGCAAGCAGCAAGTGAATTGGCCAATTACAGTAGAGACCGTAAAGCCGTAATCACACTAGCGATTGGCGATTGTAATTGACGATTGAGGATTACTTTTCAACCAATCGGAGCAAAGAAATCGATGACTTTCAGGCTCTGATTGGTTGAAAAGTAATCCTCAATCGTCAATCACAATCGCCAATCGCTAGTGTGATTACGGCTTAAGGCCAGTAGCGAATTCAATGTTACGATTTCCTCAAGCTCGGAGCACATAGAAAAACGTAAGGCCGTAAGGCGTAATCAGTGAAGAAATCGTAACATTGGATTCGCTACTGGCCTTACGGTCTCTACTGTGATTGGTCAATTCACTTACTGCTTGCGTGTTAAGGCCTGTCTACAATACAGTGAGTAAGAAGTAAGAGTAAGAAATTGACCAATCACAGTCGATTATTCTTCTCACATTTGACTGTGATTGGTCAATTTCTTACTCTTACTTCTTACTCCGTGTATTGTAGACGGGCCTTTAAGGCCTTGGCACATAGAAAAACTTAAGACGTAAGACTTAAGCAGTAACGAAATCAATATGTTGGATTCGCTATTGCTTACGTATGGTCTTACGGTTTCTATTATGATTGGTCAATTCGCTTACTGCTTAAGTCTTAAGCCTCGTCTACAATAGTCGCACAAGCTGTGTCGCATGTCGTATGAAATGTCGCAAAAGTGTCGCATATAGTCGCATGATTGTCGTAGTCGCAAGAGCTTTTGTCGTACAGAGTTGAGCCAACTTCAACTTTCTGTGACTGCGACAGGCATGTCGCATGAGCTCAGCCAATCACAGCACAGCAAATTGACGTTTAGAATTTGTCATCGAATTGCGTGCAAACAATTGTTATGACTATTGTAGACGCTCATTTAGCGACACTCTTGCGGCATGCGACAAATTTTCATGCGATGCTACTACTCGCGACATCCGACACAACCTGTGCGACTATTGTAAACGAGGCTTTATGCGGGGTCTACAATAGAAGTCGTAGCAGTCGTAGGGTCTTAAGTCGTAGAAAATTGACCAATCATAGTCTATTATTTTTCTCATATTCTACTGTGATTGGTTAATTTTCTACGACTTAAGACTCTACGACTGCTATGACTTCTATTGTAGACCCCGCTGGGGTGATCCCAATTGACCACGGCTCGATTAGACACCACCAATCACAGCGACCGGTGCTTAGGAGCTTTGTAGTCTCAAGCGCTGTGAGTGGCTCGTGTCCAATTGAGCCGTGTCCAACTGGGTGCAACCCGATGCGAAAGAGAGAAAGAGAGGGGTTGTGTACATATTTAAACTTCACTCTTTCTCTCTTTCGCGTCGCGTCGTGACGCGATGGACGACGTGACGCGTGTATACTCTCATTGGATATCGCGTGTCGCGCGCGACGAACATCGCGCTGGTGTGCCGGAGCCATGATGCGCTCAGTGGAAACGTACCATATGGCTGATAGCGTTTTCGGCCCGATCGGGTTTGCACCAACCTGGGTTGGATTAATCTTTCCTATTGGTTGATGTCACACGCTCTACCAATAGGGAAGCGCAAAACGCCATTAATCCAACCCAGGTTGGTGCAAACCCGGTCGGGCCGAAAACGCTATGAGTTTCCACTGAGCGCATCACTCGTCGCGTCGTTGAAGGAAAGAAAGAGAGGGGTTGTGTATTTATATCTTAGAACATATATAAATGGATGGGGCATAGGGCGCTAAAGGTGAAGCCACATCTGTGCTAGAGAGAAAGGTAGTAAGGGATAAATGTTCGCAATGCGCACGCGCAGCACCGTCATCTATGTGAATTGTGCAGTTGGTTTAGTGTTTTTACACATTCGTACATTACACAGATGTGTAAAACGTGATGCTGCGCATGCGCATTGGAAACATTTATCCCTTACTACTTTTCTCTCTCGCACAGACGTTTGCATCAGCGCGAGCCATGGGAAGTATAGGCAATGCCCGTTCCATTTATATATGTTTTAAGATTATATAAATACACAATCCCTCTCTTTCTCTCCTTCGATGACGCGACGCATGACGCGCTCAGTGGAAACGTACCATAAGTCTTTGGTTAGTACTAGAGTCCTAGATTTATCAGAGAGGCGCAACCGGTGTTATGCATTCTGATTCGCTGTTGTAATCTGACCAATTGCGTGACTTGGCAACCATTTATAGTACTAGTGACATATTTCTATTTCATTTTATCCTATACATTCTATCTCACATTATCCTACACGTCTTATCTTGTTTGACATAGTTTAAAGGCAGTTTCATAATATGTCGGCCTTTAGTATTCTCCTTAGCACATTTGTCATACTGACTCTTAAGCCGGTTTCACGTCTCTGATAAATCTAGGGCCGGTATTCATAGTCCGAGCTCAAGTCAGTACTTAAGACTGTCTTGGCGAAGATCGTCTTA